CCCGAAACCCTAACCTAAACCTGATCGGAACGCGCGCATCCCGCGCGCGTCTCTTTCACAGTTCCGCGAACGAACGTCGGGGACTTACACACTCCCCCGCTAGCGAGGACCTACGGTTCGAGCGATATGAGAGTAAGTACGATGTTCGGGCGCGAGCATCAGTCAATTCAATATAGTTGGTTATTCAAGAGTTTAAGGTTCTCCCCGGCCGTGCGGGTACATATGGTTCGTTATCTACATCTGCATAGGGACATCACCGAGAACGGGCGCAGGCGAGGTCCACTGCTTGTGTTCAAATTTGGGAGGCAGGATCGCACGGTGCGCGATGTTCTGGATCTGCGTCCAAAGAACCCGGATATCATCTGGTACTGCGTTACGCCCGGGGGCATCAGTTTTCATCCAGCGGCGTTCGATGTACGTCTTGGCCCACCCGAACAGCTCCCGCCCTTCGTCTACGGCGAGTCCATGGTCTGCGAACCAGCGCGTGATATCTCCATCACTCATATTCTCGGTGAATTCACCACGCTCGAGGCGACCCTGCGGGTTGATCTGAAGCTCGAGCGCGGCGACCATTTCTGGGTACCTCTGCGGCCGCCCGAAGTACCGGGCCTGCCTGTCGCGCCCAACTAGAGTTCCCGTCGTGGCCCACGATACCGCCTCGCCGCGCATCGTATGCTCCTGCGTGTTGGCCTTGAATTCCGCCTTGGGCGAGCAGATGACGCCGTGGATGAAGTCGTCCAGGCTGCGTGCGTGGTGAGCCTGGTAGCGTGCCCATTCGAACCAGTTGAAACGTCTGAATGTCCCCGGTTCAGGTCTTTCCGGGTTTCCCTCCATCAGCTGCGGGATGTGCGTTCCGCGCGCAGGCGTCGAGGCTGTAGTCCCCCCCCCACCAGACGACGTCGCGGACGTCGACGAGGTTTGGTTGCCAGAGGCCGAAGACGCCGAAGGCGCGAGCCCACCGTGCTCCTCGCCCTGGGCTCCATCCGCGGAGCCCTTCGGACGCTTGCGCTGGCGGCTTTCGGGGTCGTCCCGCAGGTCGTTATACACCTTGCGCCAGCGCGCGGATTCTTCCTGAAAGGCGCCGACCGCACCTTCGAGCGTAATGCGTTCGCGCTGTGCCGCCGCGAGCAAATCCCCACACCCGCTGTGCGCAGCCTGTGCGAGCTTGCCGGCGGCGACGGCCTCCTTGTACTCGCTCGCCATCTTGGCGCATTCGAGGCAAGTCTCCGCCGAGTGCGTGTGCGGGCGCCGGGCGAGTTCCTCGGCGAGCTTCTGTTCGAACGAGGCGCTGGCCTGTTCCATGAGCGTGACCAGACGCTGTATCTCAGCGGCCTTCGCGTCGCGGTCTTGCTGCGAGGCTGTGAGCGCCTGCTGGTTGGCCGCGGCGTCCGCTGACTGGGTGGACTGCGTCGCGGCAAGACGTCCTTCAAGCTCCGAGATCTGGTTCAGGAGCCCGCGTTTCGCACCGTCATCCTCAAACTGCTGCGCGAACGCATGGACGTCTTCGCGAGTGAAACTGCAGAAGTCGCAGTTCTCATCGGCAGTGCCGGTTCCGTGTTGCGCACGATGTACGCGCCACGCTTCTTTCCCCGCTTCGGTGATCCACGAGGGACGAAACGGTATAGTAGGAGAGGTAGGCGTAGCTCCGGAGTCGACGGTGACGTTGGCCTCGGGCACGGTCTGTTCTTCAGGCATCATATAGTCGATTGACGGTTGAGTTAGCAGATTGCTGGTTCTCCCGTCTACGTCGTCCGCGCATTAAATACTGTGCACACTCTACCAGGGGTGACCAATAAGGTGCGTGCGCTCGTGGTTCTGCCGATTAACCTTTCTTACGCCTTCTGCGGATTTGCAGGGTCCTTTGACGTTGCTGTAGGTCCCTTGATCCGCGGAAGACCGCGCCAGCTTTGGGCACCGAGAAGTTCGAGGTAGGCCGCATAGGCTTCGAGCTTGTTGACGCGCGACAATGGCTCACGCGTCGTCTCGCCTAGGTTCCAGCGGACGTCGAACTCGACGGTGTTCTTGTTCCAATGGTGAGCCGTTATCTCGTCTATCAGCCATTCGTCTTCGTGCGGAGCGCCGAAATCATAGAAGAACTTGCTGTCCCTGGACGGAAACAGATTGTCGTTGTTCGGCTCGTGTCGCCGGAGCTTACTGACATGAAAGGTAGCGTATATGCGTCGTGTTGCTAGGTCTTCAGGTAGCCTTATCTTGTATGCTGACGACTCTGCATTCGCACTTTCCACAGGATATGGTCCTATGTACTTGGGCATGAGCTTTCGCGCTCGCCCTTTGGGCATGTTCAGGTTCTCGGTCGAAATGTACACGAGGTCTCCTTCCTCGAAGGGCATCTCGGGCGATCGGTGCTTATTCGCCCAGCTGGTCTGATTAACGCGTGATTCGATGATAGCATCATGTGCGTGTGCTAGGTTCCGTAGCGCGTTCTGCGCGAACTCGCGCACACCCGGCGAGTCCTTTGCATTTGGTTGTATGCCCGCAATCATTGTGGGCATGTACCCGAAGGTGAGTTCAAATGGTGCATGTTTTGAGGATGCATTCGTGCTACTGTTGAGCGCAAATTCTGTCATAGGTAGACACTCTACCCAGTTCGTTTGGTCAGGCTGCACCATGGACCTCATGATCTGGCCGATCGAGCGTATCTGTCGCTCTGAGGCTCCATCCGTCTGCGGATGGAAGCTCGTGGACATAAGGAGCTTGGTGCCAAGGAGGCGATGCACCTCGCGCCAAAAGCGCGAGGTAAACTTCGAATCCCGGTCTGATACTATGCTCGATGGTAGTCCGTGTAACCTGACGACTTCCTTTACATAGATCCAGGCCAATTCCTTCGCCCGTATCTTCGTCGTGATGGGTATAAGGTGAGTCAGAGACGTCATTCGACACAGTATAACCCATAGATAGTCGTATCCGCCTTCCGCCGTCGGAAAGGGCCCAACGAAGTCCATCGCGATGGAGTCCCAAGGACGGCGCGGGGTTGGCATGCTGTGCAGTAAGCCCGCTATCTTCGTTGTCCTTCCTTTCGTGACTTGACAAATCTCGCAGGTATCACAAAAGAGATCTACGTCTCGTCCCAATGTAGGCCACCAGTAGAATCGTCGTATGTATTCCCCTGTACGCTGGGCGCCCATGTGCCCCAATATCGTGTGAGCGGTGGTCAGGATGACCTCGGTCATACGCCTTCCGTTCTTGACCGCCCGTGGTATACATAGGACGTCATCTCCTGCTCGGTTCCGAGTGTATAAGAACCCATCAGTCTTGGAGAACGCCTTGTGGCGTTCAGGTTCGTCGACGATCTTCTGGAACAAGGTATCCTCGGTGTACCCGTCCTTCACGTCGTTCAGGAAGGACTCTGCACCCTCAATGTACTTGTGAATATCGGGCCCCTCGGCCACCGAATCTATGAATCTAGGGTTCTCCTCATCCTCAATTCGCTCCAATTCTGCACGTCTTATAGCGCGCTCCTCGGCACGCTGTTTCTTCACTTCATACTTGTGCAGTTCTTCCGCCTCAATGTCGCGCGGGTCTTTATGTTCGGTCAGTTTATCGGCATACCGGCGCGGCTCATCGTCGCGACGAGGCGCCTTCCGGATGCGTTTCCCAACAGCTTCCATTACGCGCATCTCTTCGATGCGATCCCAAGGCAGGTCTTCTTTGTATGGGTCGAGACGCGCGTCAGCATCCGCGTATTCACGCGCTTCGTGCTCTTCATCCCATCGGTCACTATGGTAGTACCGAGACAGCGCATCCGCGACCAGGTTGTCTACGCCCTGCACGTATTCAATCTCGTAGTCGAATCGGGAAAGGTATTCCATCCACCGTGCTTGACGGCTAGACAGGCGCTTCACATCCTTGAAGAACTCCAAAGCCTTATGGTCTGATGCGATGCGGATCTTGAAGCCAAGGAGCTTGTCTTCCCACTTCATTAACGCTTCCAAGATAGCCAGCATCTCGTATTCCCATACTCGGTAGTTGCGCTGTGCAGCGGTAAGCTTTCGGGACATGAATCCCGCCGGTCTACATGTCTTCCACTCGGGCCCTTGCCCGTACATAGCACCCACACCCGATGTAGATGCATCGCACACGACCCAGATGGTTTCGCCGTTACGTGGGTCGATCGGCTTGAGGATCGGTGTCTTACAAGCGAGGACCTTAATCATCTCGAAGCACTTGTCATGGATCGGGTGCCACTTGAATGACTCTTGATTGCGCATGATGGCGCTCAATGGTCCCGTGTACGCCGAAAGGTCTGGCATAAAGTGTGATATGTACTGTACAAGGCCGAGGAATCGTTGGATGTCTAGGTAGTTCCTTGGTGTCCTCCATTCCCTTATCTTTGTCATCTTATCGCCATCCGCGTGCAATCCCTTATCGTCGATCAGATGGCCTAGGCAGTCGAGCTTCTCGGCGTATAGCTGGCATTTCTCCGCTTCGAGATAGAGTTCTGCGCCACGCAGGCAGTCAAACACAATTCCTAAGTAGTGTTCATGTTCTTCGATGGTATCCGAGTAGACAAATATGTCATCCAGGTATACGTGCATGAAGATCCCAATGTGCTTTCTGAATATATGGGTCATTAGTCTTTGGAATGTAGCGGGAGCGTTGCAGTCTCCCTGCTGCATGACATTACTCAGGTACGTGCCGTAGATTGTGGCGAACGCAGTCTTGATAACGTCTCCAGGCTCTACCCTGATCTGCTCGTAGGCGTTCGATAGATCTATCTTAGATCTGAACCTTCCTCGAGCGACGTCATGCCTGATTTGATCTTGGTCTGGGAGTGGCGTCACGTCCCTGACCGTATTTTCGTTTCGCTTCCGACAATCAACCACGGTGCGTATCTTTCCTGACTTTTTCGGGATACACAACATCGGTGCAGCTTGCGTGGCGGTCTTCGGAATCCACCACTCTGCTTCGACATACTTGTTGATCTTTTCCATGAGCTGGGGCTTCAAAGCATCCGGGCACCGCGGCATATGATAATTGTATTGCCGTGTTTCGTCCACAAGTGGTATGGCGTGGTTGATCTCGCGCATCGGCGGCGGTTTCGGCGGTGCTCCGCTCATTATATCTTTATTCTTTTCTATCCACGCCTGTCTGAGGCGTTCTAAGTCTGATTCTGCTGGTTTTTCATCTGATTTATTTTCTACTTCTCGTCTAGCGTACAGTTCTTCTCTTTCCTCGGTTCTGGACTCCGGAGGCTGTACCCTCACGGAGTCCGAGGTCCGCTGCTCCGAGCGTAGTCAGGGCGCGGCTCGCGCGTTGCGAGCCTCGTGGTTATCATCATTTGATGGTCCACCGCGCCTTTGCGTCTGTTTCGCTCGAGCAGCCACTTTACGCTGGCGTCGTTGCGCGAGGAGATCCGCCTCCTCCCCCACCTCAAGAGTAGGCACCCAGGTGCTACCCATACGAATGCCACCATCTTTGAAGTCGAGCACCATGCCGTACTTGCGCATGGTGTCTGCGCCAATGACGCAGTCGTAGCGGTCCGTATTGACTACGTGGATTGCCATCGCGCCATCACGGACCGTTCCGAAGGACATCTGTCCTATCGCGCCGAAGTTTATCTTGCTTCGGCTGCCCACGCACCCCAGGTAAAGGGTGACTGGGCGTTCTAATTCAAACGTACGCAGGTTGGCTACGCGCGCAAAGTCCGGGGTCACCGATGTGGTAGTACTCCCGCTGTCGAAAAGTGCGTATGCGCGCACTCCGTTGAATTCAACGTACTGAGCGAGGCACCGCGTAGCCTCGAGTTGTGGGTCCGGGATGACGCCAAGTTCGAGGTCGCGTCGCCCCGCAGTTCTGTACGCGGCGGGTTCCGCGGTTGTTACACCGCGGGCCTGCGCCATGTACATATAGGCAATATCATCGGGGTAGCGCGCTACAATCCGCGCACGCGGTGCGCTGCCTACATCGTTGTCCCGCAGTCGGCGTGCGGACGCGCGCTCATGGCGCATCATGGTACGTATCCCGCCCGTCAAGATGTTAGGCCGCGTCGTACCGTCATTAACGAAGATTCGTCGGTCCGAGCGGTTAAACAGCGGCAGGCTGTCCGCGCGCACTGTGGTAGGCGCTAGGATCTGCGCGTATGTGACCGTAGGTGCGTCGCCCAAGTCCGATTCGTCTGAGCTCTCCGAATCTGATGTGTCATCCACGGTCTCCAGCGCAGGCAAGGAATCCGAGTCTGATCCAACCACGGATGCCCTAGATCGAGCCTCTAAGTACGCAGAGGAGTCGCCTGATGAGCTGCCCTCGGACGATGACGAGTCGGACTGCATCATCGCGCGTAGAGTGTCGCGCTCGACAATTGTAGTTGCGATATTGCGCACCAGGTCTTGGTCCTGATACGGTACGTCCTCGCGCATACGCCTGCTCAAACCGTCAACTGATATGTTCCCAGGTCCTTCTTCAGCTTGCCCGCGCGCGTAGTGCATACGTCCGATGAGCTGTACGTAGTATGCACGCTGCGATTGTAGTGCGCGCTCATGCTCATGCATCAATGCACCGAGTTCGTTCTCCCGCCGCTGCCGCATGGCGTCAGCATTTTCCCTTTCGGTCCGTGCGATCTCGAGCATGGAGTGCTCTCGGCGCTGGGCGGTGAGCAGCCTGTCCCGCAGCACCTCGCGCGTGTTAATGTGCTCATTGATTCTTTCCGCGCGTGCGTGATCGCGGTTTTCCGCCTGCTGCAGGTCGCGATGCAGGCACGCATTCTCCCGCCGGAGACTCTCGTTGGCTCGGGTACCAGCAACAAACCTCTCGTAGATGTTGCTGTATATACCCCGGAGCTCAGGATCTCGAGTCCGGTCGTAAAACGTGTTACGGTTATTGGCCGCGCCCGTCATATGGCGATTGAAATCGCGCATTCCTTCATTCCTAGCGGTACGGAATTGTTCTTCCGCGACGGTGCTGTGCGCAACATTGAAGTTGAAGCGGTCGCGCTCGTCGTCGTCATCACTATCCTGATCCCTTTCGGGTATAGGTAAGTCTTCATGAAGAGGATCGCCTTCATTCCGTGGTGGTAAGCCCGGTACGGCCGCCATTAACCGGTCGTACGTCTCGCGCACTTCAGCTAACCGCCACTCGAGGTCTCCCGAGTAGGTGACCTGAACGGATAAGGGCAACGCGTTGACGCCGGTTGTACGAGCAGTACGAGTGGTGCTCGGTCCGGCCTCGCCGAGGTCCGGTACACGCGCTTGCCCGCGTTCGGCGGTGGCCACGGATGCTCTCAAGTCGTCCAACACGCACTGAAGGTCGTGCATGCGTGCACGTAGGTTCGTTACTTCCATAAGGTGAACCTCCTGCAGTTCCTGCCGTTGTGCATTCAGTCGCTGTCGCATGCGGATCAGCTCATCATTTTTCTCTTCTAGGATCTTGTCCGATCCGGTGTTGTGCGCCTGTGCGTCATTCAACTGTTGCACCAACCGCTCGTGCTCACGTTCCATCGCCGACGCGCGTTGTTCAGTATCGCCTATGCGCATTTCGAGATCATTGTTACGGCCTAACACGATATCCAACCGTACCATGAGGTCCGCTGCTTCCACGCGTAGTGCTTCTAGGTTGTTCGAATTCACTACGCGTCCTATACGCGCGAACGCGCTCTGAGACAGGGCGACGTCTGGACGGCCTTCCCGTACAGGTATAAATCCATGCGAGTCATCACTCTGTGCGGCCTCATCATCAGACTCGCGCGTATCCATAGGCTCCCCCGTGTCTAACTCCTGCTCGTCTTCGGTGACGATGCGCATGCTATACATGTGCGTCCTCTCGTCGTCCGAATCCGGCGCATCTTCGTGTCTGGCGTGGGTATCTTCCTCTGCTTCAGAATCATACTGAGAGCCAGGTATGTAGTCTTCTTCTTCGTCAACTGTTTCGAGTTGACCGACTTCAAGTTCCTCCTCGTCAGGTTCATCATCCGTGTCTCCCTCGCCGTCGTGTTCATCTAGGATCTCATCTCCGAGGTGCCGCGAGTACATGCGCTCCTTGCTCTTGCCCTTTTCCGGGCAGGCGTTCGCGTAATGGCCGGGCTTGTGGCAGATGAAACATTCATCTTTCTTTGGCCGATCTGATTGGGTATGGTTCGGTCCAGACGCGGTCGCGCCGGTGCTCTTGGTTGGCTGTGATCCACTCGGTATACCCCCGTTAGGTGCTGCCGCCGGTGTATTCGGCTTCCTTTCGCCATCATAGGTGCGCGCGAATCCAGTTCTACGGAATGGGCGTCCACTTCCTGTTCCACCGCGACCGTTCCGGCCGAAGTTACCGCCGAAGGTGTTGCCGCGGTCATTTGAACGGTGGGTTGTGCCGCTCCCGCTGGCACCAGCATCATCGTGCTTGATACGATTGTCAGCAGCGTTGCCGCCTACAGCCGATTCGGTACGCTTGTCGCCATGCTTCCTCCGTTGTTTGAGGAGGCGCTCACTAGTATCGTAGTTCAGAGCTCCCTGAACCAACTGTGTCGGAGACGAGAACTCTTCGTTCAGCTTCTCGGTGAGGTACATGTACTTCACCATTTCCTCGGGTAGTTCCTCCATGAACCGTTTCTTCATGGTACGTTCATCGGGTTTATTGATCATACGCTTCTTAATACGCGCGAGATCGTTCCACAGTGCCTGTGGGCCTCTCGAGGCGTTATAGCGAACTCGCTCGAACGCAATGGATGCTTCCTGCACATATGCGATGTTGATGAATCGTAAGCACATCGCGCATAGTACGTCGAGATAAGTCCAGTCTTCAATTTCCCTGTCCGGGTCGGCGACTTCCTGCTGATACCACTCTAGGGCTTCGCCTTCCAAGGCTTCTCCTAGGATGAGTACCCGCATTGCGTCATGTTCATCGCCTACTAACTGGCTAATCTGGAAGTATCGTCCTACTTGTTCCACGAATCCTTCGTACTCATGCATATTGTCTTTGCCTGTGTAGGCCTTAGGTAACTTAGGCTTAACGCCCTTCGGTGTGTCACCCGGGGTACCATATATCACGGCCTCATTCATGCGTACAATTCGATTCAATACCACATCGCGGTGCGCTCCCACCGCGTCGTACATTGCTCCCGCAGCTTGTGGGCTTGGGCGCTGCAAGCTGGCATACGGTACTCCGTCCATCCGCGCCCATGCGGGTTCAGTACCAGTGGTCCTTTCACGGGGTAGTGACGAGCCCCGTCCCCCGTTTGGTCCCCTTCCAACGCCGTTGGCATTGGCACGACCACGGCCTCTTCCTCTGCCGCGTCCGTGAACCAAGGGGTCTCGTCCGTTTTCACCGTATCCTCGCGGCGGCACTGATGCGGACCGGCGCGGGTTCCTAACCGGTGCGTGATTCTCCTCTTCGTTCTCCTCGTCGTTACCTCTGTTCTCTTCCTCATCGTCGTCTTCAGGTTCATCATCACCATCCCCACCACCACCTCCGGGTGGTCCATCACCTCCACCACCATCACCACCGCCAGCGGCGTAGTTCGGTGCGTCCTCTTCCTCCTCGAGGTACTCATAGTCCCTTTCGTTATCTTCGCCATTCCGGCGCACTCGGCCCTCGGCCTGCCATCCGTTGCGACGGTATTCGTTCCGGTATCGTTCTTGGCTCTGTCCCCGAGCTGCGTTGTACCTGCGCAGTATCTCGGATCCCGAGTTGCCGGTAAGTTCGGACCGTCTCCTCCTTTCCTGTCTTTCCAATTCTCGTTCGTTGATCTCGTCCTGCAGGTCTTGACGCCTACGGAAGTGGCTCGATGTTTCGCTACTATTCCGGCTTCGAAAAATCACGTCGTAGGCTTCATCGCTGACGATGTTTTCTTCATCTTCAGCTTTGACACCTGCTACACTCTCTTCTAAGGTTCGAACCGGCATGGTCCTCATCGCCTCCTCTACGTACTCATCAAGGGGCATCGGGATTCCGTGATCCTCAATCGCTCCCGTGCGTACGGATCTTATCAAATGAAGCGCGAGGTTCATCCTTTCACGTCGAGCAGCTTCCTGCTCCTGCATGGCCTCTATCATGGCCTGGGTAGCTTCGACGTCTCGTGTACGACCCGAACTGCTACGGCGTTCTGGAGTACCAGGTGTGCTCCTATGGCTCGTAGACAAAGGTGGTAGCGGACTGGACCGCTGCCTTCTTCCACTCAGGTACGCCTGTACCTCTTCTTCAGGTACAATCTCATTCTCAGGGGTCTGGTTGACAGGTTCGCTCCGCCGACTCATGCGGGTTGTCGAAGCTGCGGATGGGCTGCGACGCCCGTTGCGCGGCGTCGTCGCCCTGCTCGAGGGTCGTGAGTTCGCGGTCGCCTGTGTACCAGCGGCCGTGTTCTCTTGCTGGGTAGCCAGCGTCTCGTTCGAGGCAGTGGCGCCCATCTCTTCCTGCTGCCGCCTAGCGGCTTGTCTAGTTTTACGCGTCGTTGACGCCACTGTTCGTGTCGCCATCTTCGCGTGGGTAGTGTTTGGTTTGGTAGGTTTGGTTCTTCAGTACGTTCGACGCCGGTGAGGCTGTTGGAACGCAAAAAAGTATAAGTTTACCGCTTAGGGCACCGCCTATAGTCACACAATGCAATGCGTTGGACCCAGTTTTATTAGAACTAGATACAGCACGAGTATGTATGAACGTCAAGGTGGTTGTTAAAGCGTGAGTCTCGGTCGGCGCGCCCTGCGCGCCTTATATATCTCCCATCATCCCGAAACCCTAACCTAAACCTGATCGGAACGCGCGCATCCCGCGCGCGTCTCTTTCACAGTTCCGCGAACGAACGTCGGGGACTTACAAGGATAAACCTGACGCACGATAGTAGAAGGTGATGGACATCAAGGGAGGTAACACATTCCATGATTCGAGGAGCAGGAAGCCGAGTACTGAACCATCGGGGGCGCTAGAGCAGCCAGAACCCTCATTGACCAAAAATCGAACATCCTGGACAACGTAGTCTGCAGCTGGATAAGCGCACGCTGTGACACCAGAGCCGTGGCCGTACTCACAGAGAGGTCCGGCAGCTAGAAGAGGAATACCCAAACCGAGTGCCCACTCTATCGCAAAATTTCTGTGCCTCTGATACTGAAATCAGAAGGAAGAGGATCGATCGTGCACTGCAACTCACTGCAGCTCTCGCAGGAGGCTCTACGGAACGTAGGTTGGTGATCAAGTATAGTCTTCGAGTGATGACGAGAGTAGCCATAGGTTTGACGATCGAAGTGATTATTTGCATGCGAGTTACTGCTCAATGTGATGTCAGGAGTGGAGAGTCCCTTTGTTGGTATACTGACTGATGTCACAATACACATATAGCTTGATGTCGGCATTATCGGACCATATGATAGCATTGATACCTCCAGTCAAGTTTTCAAAGAAGAGCCAGAAACAAAGGAAGGCAACGCCGAGATTCCAGCTCTGGCGGACAAAGCTGGTCAGCATTACGAGGAGCAGCATTGCTACAGCCAATAAGCAGGCGATGGGGTAGAGAGGATATGTCGGGTCAGCTGCCATGACGCTTGAAAGAGATGTTGACGACCCAGTCTATAAGCTGGATGCCTGTCATATATACTCGTGTTTAAAGCAAATTAGCTCTATTATCAATCCAGGGTACAAAACGTACAAGATGAGACGTCTACACAGTATACACAGTCTTCGTGCGACGATATCAAGTACGTTATTGGTCGAGGCAACCATTGCACGCGTGTGAGCGCAGACTTCATTTTGTCAGGCCGACAAAGCTCGAGACGTGTACAGGAAAACAGTCAACGCGTACCGCGATGGATGCACTGCGTTCTTGATGCGTTGACAAGGACTCGCACTGTTGTCACTGCAGAAACCTGCTCTAGCAGGGCGTCGACGACCCAAAGAGCAGAATGGTCTATTCGCTCTGGTATAATTCCATATATCAGGTTGGAAGCTGAATACGACAAGTAAGTATGCACGTACCTGTATATCCGTAGGCTGTTCTCACGTTATTCTTGGTGAAAGGCGGGCTACAACTGGCGGAACGTGATCCTATCCCTATATACGAACGTACAACGCTGCTAAGCACAAGTGAGATGGTAGTCTTGTAAGCCCGTGGATCAAATTGCGTACCAAGTTGGTCCGCGCGCGAGGAGTGGGTGTCCTATGATGAAGGAAAGGAACAACAAGGCGACACCTGTACGAGATGAGGGCTGAGTTCTGCCTCGCCGCCGCTAGGTGTCGTAGCAGTCGTTCAGATCAACTCGAAGCGGTGTACCAGAGTCGCGACTGGGTTGGGGGCCTATCCGCCAGGATATTCGTACAGAGCCGAGGCAGGAATCGCAAGCCGAGCAAAAGGGCACGGTATGCATATGCCTCTCAAGAGCCATTTGAGCTTCGCGCAGTGCGCCACTTAAGATATTCAAAAAATGTCATCATTGCTACAAGTTGTGTTGGTGGCAAGGTGGTGGTAGAGGTGAAAGAAGCTTGGCCCACGGCTGCGCGGCATCAAGCGGCAACGCGAGAATCGCGGGACTAGTGCTCTTGGACTTGACGCTCACTGGCACGGTCACCAGCATAGCGCCATCTCTCCTCAATGCCATTCCAATTCCACGTGGCGCTTCGCTACAATCCATTGTTCCAGTGTACTGTCTTCGACATATCCTGAGGCGGTGGGCAGCCTCCTCGCGAGTGCGAGCGGGACCAGCGCATGGGCACCCGGCGGGACCCGGAAGCCTATCCCCGTAACACCTCATCTTCCTACGCTAGCGGAAGTCGGGTCTTGAGTGCGCCTGTGTATGATGGTTAGACTCAGGCGCGCCTTCGCGCGCCAAGTGCTGTGCGTCAGGTACACCACGCATCTATAGGACGAGAGCGCAGGTGGGCTCGATCATATATCTTCCATACCTGGCTTTTCCGCTCATTGATGTTGTAGAACGTCGCCGGGCTTATTTGCTTCAACCGAGCGAGGGATACTTGCGCCATCAATGCGCACATCCCTTCCATTAGCAGCTTTCAGGGCATATCACGGACCACGCTCGATGTCTAGTATGAATGCTAGTCGTGCAACCAACTAGCTATAGGTGCGCGAACGGTAGTCCTCGCCGATTCGTTCATATGCTGACGAATGCTCTCGCAGATAGTTATTGGAGCGCCTTTCCGCGCTGATTACATACGAGCACAACCCATCCGTATATCACAACATCGGATGATCGCAAATGCTTTCTGTACATACTAGCTGTGGCCCGTGCGTTGCACGGGGCCCGATCCGATCCTACTCGTGACTATGAGCTTTTCCAAGCCCATGCAAGGTGGATATTAGGAACACACCTGTTAAGTCTGTCCTGTTCGAGATACGGATACTGTTATCGCGCGTGAGCCGAGGGCTCGCTGCGCTCACCCTCGGCTCACGCGCGGGGGATTCTGGTTCAGGTCAATGAGCCCAGAGCTATATCCAGACTGTACACCGTCACTGACCTCTCCGTGGCGGGCGTCCGTGAAGCCTCGTGTAAAGC